TCTTGATAGACATCAGGTCCATCCCCAGTAAAATATACCCTGAGTCCCGTCTCATTCCGCTCGACGAGCGATCTAACCCTACCAGTCAGCGCCGATTGATTCTTGCCCGAGCCAACCCATCGATTGGGCGGTCCTGGGCAGGGGACACATGACATTCTCACCGGATGCATCTTGCGGTAGCTGAAGGACCAAACCACTCGCCAGGATATTTGCCACACGCCGCTGCGCCGTATTGCACAAACTGATGAAGAGAGTAGGAGGCTCTTGGGTCGTCGGCAAATCTGGACAGCAGTAGTTTCTCCTTGCCGTCTGCTTGTCCCCTACGCCACTCTGCGGGCAGTAGCTGTTAGCGCAAGCTTCGTGATGGGGTGCATCTCGACTGACCACGCCCGAGCTGCAGGAAGCTCATTGTATTCGCCAACAGCATCTGGCCGGATCGTATCATGCAGCCCCAACCGCTGTCGGACTCAAATCCACCTTGCTCTCCGAGCCGCCCTTTGATCCGCATGGCGAGAGAGAGCGCAGAGGATGCGCGAGGGTCTGTAGACTTCAGGATAGGCTCAAACTCGGATCGATATGTCATCCAGAACTTTGACTCAAAGTCGTCGAGGAACTCGGTTGGCCATCCGCCTTCATTGTCGGGGCTGCGCTCCTCGGCAGGCGAAGACGGTGGAAGTTCGGATGGCGGGATTTCTGAAAGGACATTGTGCTGCTGCTGGCCTGCAGGAGATGCCGTGGTCGGCGTCACACCTTGTGATGCGGCTTGCTGGGTTGCGGAATCGTCGACGGGCTGAATTTCTTTGGTCTCGTCGGAGACACCACCACGACCATGATCAAGCTGGTACCTGGCTCCAAGACACCATATGGGATTGTTCTTCGACTGGTCATTCGTTGGTTCTGGATCCCAAAATAGCTGCACAATACGACGATAGCGCCCGAGATCGATGCCGGCCATAGCTGCCTCCATGTCCTGGTCCGCGGACCACAGAAGGCCCTGCTGAGCTATGTCCCCGCGGGTATTTGCCCAGGTTTGGCGGGGTCGCTGTGTTCGGAATCAACTTCTCGGGCTTTCGGTGCGGCTCTGGGGCCAGACTTCGCAGTCTACGGAGTCGTCGGTTGGTTATCGTGCGTCGGAGTTCTGGAAGTTGAAAGGTGCGAAGGCGGGCGAACCTGCCAACGGTCAAGAAATGGATGTAGGTAGAGAGGAATGCGTTCCCATGACGATGGCGGTTTGGGGAGGTATGTCTCCCGCTCGCTCTGACTGGTTCACACAAGCCACTTGGGTGGGCACGGGACACGCCTGCCTACTGCCCACCTTGCGTAGCGGGCGAGCACCTACACTACACTTGGTACCTACGGAGTAAGCACCAAGTGGATTGAAGGTGGACGCCCGCCGGAAGGTACTGTTGAACTGTGCCTTGTCTGGTGTCACTGTCACCCCTGTCTCCTGTCTCTTGTCTTCACCAAATCTGTCGCATCGAACCTGTTTGCTGGCCTCTAAAGACTCTCCTTACTACCTATTTCCATGTTGCCCACGAAATCTTTTCTGGTGATGGAAGCCCACTGACATCATCACCTTCACAAACACGACCACCACGTCACGCTCCTTCCATGGACCCTGGAGCTAGGCACTGTAGTGCACGGGCGCGCTGTCACATATGTACCGCCAGTGGGTCTCCTGGTTCACAAACTGCACCAACGGATGTGGATCGAATCAACCCAACAGCACCATACCTACCAAGGCTTCACCAAGGCTACAAACACCCCTTGCAACTTGACGGATCGTCCCACCGCAAGACTTAATCCATCCTATTACAACCTGAGGTCGATCGGTATGCCTAGATTCGTTCAAGAGGTATAACTAGGGGTTCGCTAATAACGAAAGTTACGTCAAGAAAATCAACTGTCGCACAGTCCATCGCTTCATCATCGATATGGGCTTGCCACGAGGCAGTCGACAGAGGAGGGGAGGGGGGCCGCATGGCTCGCATGGCCCTGGCTTCCATGATGGCGAGGGAATGTCTTCCGGCGGCAATCATAAGCGTATGCTGCTCTTGGGGGCCGACAATCCTACCGGTATGTGCTTTACTGGTTGTTTTTCGTCGATGGCGTGGACTAATCCCGTTGTAGGAGCCTTCACTTTGGCAGACGAGGCCAGAAGTACGGCACATGGGTCGACGGCATGGAGCAAAGACACCCGTCTCAGGAGCCGTCCAGTCTCATTTGTCAGCGCCGGCTGTGTTGATCCTCTGAGGCAGCTCGAGGATCAACTTCAGAAAAAGGCGCTGGAGGCTTTGGGCCACATGTTGCCGGTGAACCCTGATGACCAGGGGGCTACTGTGGAAGGCAAACGTCTTCTGGCTGTCGACAAACAAGCAGGCGATCATGTCTCTTCTGATGGTTCTCGAGCCCACGCCTCGTCAGCCGGCAGAGACATGGCGGCCGCTGCGCACGAGCAGGCAGTTGCAAAGTCCGACCTTTTCAAGGAGGCGGCACGGTGTCCTCCCAGCATCAGCGTTGACGACGGGGACTCGCCATCTGCTCAGAATGAAAGCGCCGAGCCGGTCACTCAGCCGCAATCAGCCCCCACTACCGAGCCAGGCAGAGAAGTCGACGATGCTGGTGTCGAGGGAGGACAGTCTTCCATGTTCTTCTTCGACACGACTGGAGAGCCAGCCCACAAAAATGCCACGCCGACGGCCCGAACAGAGTCTTCTAGTGGGCAACCTCCCAAGGCCAAGGCCAAGTCCAACGAGCCTCCGCATGTTTCGGACTCTGAGCACAGCCAAGAGGAGGTTATTCTTTTCAAGGGCAGACGCCATCACGGCCGCACAGCTCTGAATTCCAGGAACACGACCTCTGTGTCGAAGGGGGCATTCGATCTGCAGGAGCTGCGGAGCGAAATTGGATTTGTGGATGGACGCATCAAACCTACGGAAGGATCCGTCATCCCCGAGACATTGGTGAGCCCGAGGACGCGGAAGAAGCGAGAGAAAAATGAGATGAAAAAGAACAAGAAGAACCGCAAAGCACGGTCAGCTGGGGCTGCAGCTGGGGCCACGGCTGGGGCGCACTTGAATTTCGCATCTGCCAAGGACGAGGAAGACGCCCTGATTGCCGATTACATCGCAAACTTGCAGCAGCAAGTCAGTGACGAGGATATGGCCTCGGCCTCCGAAGAGATTCAGCCGGAGAGAATCGACTTTGCCTCCTCAGTGGGAACTGGCCCAATGGGTCGAGCTTTTGGCGCACCGGAACCCTCCAGCAGCAACAGTGTCTCGGACAATCTCTCAGACGACTTGAACGGTGAGGGCACATTGGAGAGGACCACCATGTTGGCAATCGCAAGCGATGAGGCAGAGGCTGGTCTCGAGGCGAGCTCGGCCGTTGTCGACGTCGGTACCCAGCAACACGGCAGCAGCGCCAAGCCAGCTCGCCGGAGCAAAGCTCAGATGCCTTCCTTTATGCACCTCTCCGATTCCGAGCTCGAAAGTCAGCTCCTAATGTCTTTTGAAAGCAGTCGCTTGAAGAAGGCAGAGAAGCGGAAGGAGCGCGAAAGGCTTCGAGCGCAGGGCATGTTGGGCTCCAAGGCTCGAGAGGATGATCCTCGAGTCAAATATCAGACTGGCATGAGGCTGGAGCAGATCGCAGACGAACTGAGGGCGTTCCTTGTCGGAAAACAGTCGAGGTATGCGCCCCATCCCCTCCCCGCCGACTTGTTCCCTGCTGACATGGCAGCCTCTCGTTGCCTCCAATGGATAATCAGGCCCGGAAAGTGATTCACGAGCTCGCCAACAAGTTCAACATCAAGTCGAAATCCACAGGGTCAGGTGATCAGCGTCGACCAACATTGTATCGCACTCTCCGAACATTCGCATACTCAGAGGACGGCTTCGAAGCAGCCATATCACGCGTAGGACGCAAGTACTTCCCGCGCCGAGACCGACCAGGTACCAGTGGGCCCCGACCAGTCAACGCACACGGCAGCGGTAACAAGGACCTCTCGTATCGGGACGGTGAGATTGTCGGCGGATCTGCGCCTGAACTTGGAGAGGGCAACAAGGGCCGCCTCATGCTTGAGAAGATGGGCTGGAGCAACGGCACGGCGCTCGGTACAACTTCCAACAAGGGAATCCTACAGCCTGTTGAGCAGAAGGTGAAGCGCGGCAAAGCTGGCTTGGGCTAGGCAGTGCCTGCGTCGTGGTGTAGCGTGTCAATATCATATCTCGAATGCTGCTGTGGCTGTGACGGTGACAGGCTTATCCTCCTCGCTTGCATGTCTACTACAGAATGCGGGCTTTGAATCGGACGGTGATGGTTCCCCACACGTTATTCATCTGTGTCTCTGTTATGTGTCCAGGCATCCGGCCTTTTCGGCCAGGGGTATCTATCCGTAAGTGGGCTGATCCATGAAATTATGTGCACTTGTCGTTGGCCACTTTGGTTGATGCAGCTTGTGGCAGACATATTGACGGCTCGTAGAGGGCAGTACGTCCTATGGTACCCGATTGCTTCTGTGTGTGCATATGATAGGGTTGCAGCCGGCCGGCGGTCGAAAGCCAGCAGCACATGTTATCTGCCTCCATCAACCTTGCCGGAACAGCCGTGAGGACATACACGCGTTACTTCTGTGGTTTCAGTGTGGTATTGCGACATATAGTTGTGTGCATGTTTGGAGGCGCGGGTTGAGAGGCTCCAACTTATAAGTTGAGTATATGTCGTCCAAAGACGTCGATTTCATTTTGTGCGGCAATCGGGATGAGCGCAGGAAGACAAACCCAAGCACGGGTCGAAATACAGAATAAAACATAGAAATCATGTATTAAACCCAAATATCATTTTAAAATGGGATACGAAGCATGCCTGGAGGGCAGGGGAAGCAACACGAGTCCAAAGCGATGTGTTACGCACCATGGTTGAAGGCGAAGATGAGCATTCTCACCAGCCACAGAATCCATCGCTACTTGAATCATTGGTTTTGCATCCGGGTATCGCAACTAGCCGGCTTGGCTTAGGGGCTAAAGCATCGCACTTGTATGACCCGCCAGGGAGAACGAGATGCGGGGATCACTGGTTCGATTCCAGTAGTCGGCAGACGATCTGTCTTTTTGCCATTCTTACTTATCCGGTTCGGTCACTCGAACACCAATATGACCATCCGACTGCCTTTTGACATATATACTCAATTATTCCGAACACTTGAACACCTGACCACCCGACTGCCGCATGGAATTAACAACAGACGGGTAACCAAATCTTGTTCTCTCCATGATACGCTGTTAGCACCAGGGAACCAGATTCAGGACAGCATCAAGTCACATGCTTTATTACTTGGGATGGCCGCCCACGCCCACGATCGTCCAAGTCAAACAAATGCCGACACGAAGACACATTGCCCAGCCGCTGCACAAGTCGAAGACGGGAGAAGACAGAGACACATGCAGCTGATCACACGGACACCAACGAAAGTATTCATATGCACGAGTTCATTCGCCCGAAACCCTGTTCGCAAGGTATTGTACAGCCGCAAACCCCGATTGACCGTGAAGACATTGCCCCCAAAAAGCAGACCATCCGTAACGCATTAAGAGACCCCAAAAGCCAAATCCATTGCTTCGGCGGGACCTCAAATCATTGCACCCTGTGCCAAGTGAAAATCCATGCCCAAAGAGAGAAAACACCTGCCGACGAGAACCAAGCAGCTTATTTCGTGGACGAGGAGTACTTGGTCACGGCCTTGGTGCCTTCCGAGACGGCGTGCTTGGCCAGCTCACCGGGAAGGATGAGGCGGACACTGCAAGGAGTCAGAAACCAGAAATAACGAAATGAAGCTGGGGCGAAACGTACGAGGTCTGGATCTCGCGGGAGGAGATGGTGGACTTCTTGTTGTAGGCAGCCAGCTTGCTGGCCTCGGTGGCGACGCGCTCGAAGATGTCTGGGGGCCAAATGTTAGACCAAAACCAAAAGGCAAGCACGGATGCACACATACCGTTGACGAACGAGTTCAGGATGGACATGGCACGGTTGGAGATACCAGTGTCGGGGTGGACCTGCTTGAGGACTGTGGAAGAAATGTCAGAAACCTGGACCGAAAAAGAAAACAAGCGACTGCGGGAGGAGACGCGACTCACCCTTGTAGATGTAGGAGGAGTAGGTCTCCTTGCGCGTCTTGGTACGCTTCTTCTTGTCGCCGGAGGCGGCGGTCTTCTTGCCAGCGTCCTTCTTCTCCGGGGCCTTGGAGGCAGTGGCGGGGGCCTTAGAGGCGGGCTTCTTGTCAGCGGCCTTGGGGGGCATTTTGAAAGCTGGTGGAATGAGTTGTGAGGGTGGTGTGTGTTGGGTTGAGTTTGCGAGGTGCGACGTTGGGACAGGTCGTGTTGCGTAAAGTAGAAGAGATGGGGGTGGATGGGAGAAGAATCGGGCGGGTAGCCTTGGGCTTTTGTAGCTGGACGCGCCGTGCACTAGTGTGGTTACTGATCTGATGCGTGTGAGACGGGCTGATTTGGAGGGGGGGCGCGCGGGTGCACTGTCGTCGCGTTGCTGGGTGGGGCGTCGCGGGAGCCACGACACGAATCGCGTTGCGCGAACGCTGGAAATATGGAAGGTGCCCCCGTTTCCCTGATTTCCTTTTTGGACCCTCCAGGATGCTCCGATATTTTGATTGGCTGAGGAATACCCCAAGAGCATAACAAGAGCTCGGGCGCCGCTACCAGGCAGGGGAGTATTGGAGTGTCCTCTGCCTGGGGAAGAAGGATGACGGAGGGATTGGCTCTACCTGGGGTGGGAAGACTACTCGCCGGGTAGGCTCGACCTCTGCTAATGCAAGCGTCCGAGGAGCGAGATACACCATCTTCAGCTTCATGGCACCTGCTAGCATGGCCGGTTGCCACTTGCTTCAACACATCGCATCTTCCTGGCATGGGAGATATCCTTCACACCCGCCCGTCTGAGTTTTCGTCCTTCTCAGAGCACTCGCCTCAGGATGAGCTGCAAGTGAAAGGAAATCCAAGCAATCAACTTGAGGAGCGCACAGCTTCACCGGCTGCATCACGAAAGTCGGCCGGTAGCTAAAAGTCAATACATCCGGCATGAATCACGCCAAGCCAAAGAGATGGAGACGGAGGGATTACGGCGACTTGAACTTTTGCAACGCTGATGACTGCCACAAGCTAAACCACCGGAGACAGAGACGGGGAAATTCCGAAATCAACCATCCGCGTTCGAGGGCATCGCCTTCACAGTTGTCTCGCCTCCGTGATTGCATCTCCATGTTGCCGCCGGGTCCCACTTGGAGCGAGAGGCGCGAGCACGGCGGGCACGGTCCATGCCCACCCCCATGCGTGTCATTTTCGGGGGGCAGTAGGCGCGTCTGGACGGGCGTACCTACCCAAACAACAGAGTATACCCTTTTTGGGACTAGCTCCAAAACGCGCCTGGTGATCTGGAGGCAGCTGCATCCATCGCGAAAACTACTTAACTTCTACTCTCCCCGCCATCAGCGACCGCAACCAACACCTCTTCCCAGTCATTCAAATACCCGCCATCAACGCACACACACCTCCAGCACTCGCCGACTCAGCCCAACAGCTCAACCACTTCTCCCAAATCACCAACCACCCAACCACACATCCAAAATGACTGGAGGCGGAAAGTCCGGCGGCAAGGCCAGTGGTGCCAAGAACGCGCAGTCGTAAGTTTTCCCGCCCTCCACCCATGGCGTGTTCCATTCGCGGTCCTCGGGTGTTCCAGGAAGTACAACACACTGACAGTGTCCGCTCGCAGCCGCTCCTCCAAGGCCGGCCTGGCCTTCCCCGTCGGTCGTGTCCACCGTCTCCTGCGCAAGGGCAACTACGCCCAGCGTGTCGGTGCCGGCGCTCCTGTCTACCTCGCCGCTGTTCTTGAGTACCTCGCCGCCGAGATTCTTGAGCTCGCCGGAAACGCCGCGCGCGACAACAAGAAGACCCGTATCATCCCCCGTCACCTCCAGCTGGCCATCCGGAACGACGAGGAGCTGAACAAGCTTCTGGGACACGTCACCATCGCGCAAGGCGGTGTCCTTCCCAACATCCACCAGAGTATGTGCCTCAATCCCATCGCAACCAGACTAATGCTGACTTCATGCTCCAGACCTTCTGCCCAAGAAGACCGGCAAGGCCACCAAGGCATCGGGTAGCCAAGAGATGTAAATTTCTTGCCTGTCGTCTTTTCTCGTTTTCTGCTGGTCGGCTGCGCTTTGGGTTGTCATGACATCGGGGTCACGGTTAAGGGTCAAGGATTGATTTTTTCGCGCGTTTGGGTTGTACAATAATCCCCCACGGCTTATGGTCGGAATGATCATGAATGAGAACAACTTCTGAAAACCATCGAGCCCCTCACCCGTGTGCTGGACCATAACATCGCCGTGTTGATCAAATGATTATGTCCGGATGTCTTTAGTTGCATATATCTCCCCATCATACCAGGCCGCATTTCTGGCAGTTGCAGCTGTCCGTGGTTTGCTTCATTGAGTTGAGGAGCACGCGTGCCTTCTCTGCCAGTGATCACATCAAAATGAATGATTGTGTTGTATCTTGCGCTGGGCAAGAGTTGAGCCTCATAATCTACAACCACCCCGAGCATCCGTCCAGTTCCGGTTCTTCTTGCTTCTACACGCTCAGGGCTAAAACTTGATTGGCGGGGGGGCTTTCACGGTGTCAACGGTGAACTGTTCTGGTATGAAAAGGGTCGGTGGGGACATACGGTCTAGGATGGGAGGCGGAAGGTTCCTTTCATACTTGGAGCCTGAACAACCATGTCAGTGGACGCGTCTTCCCAATATCTAGGTCGAGCATACCTCCAGGGGCCGTAGGAGGGGTGTATGGATCGGGGTGCTTCCATCTCTCAAGGAGCTTCTCGGTTTCTGCCAGCAGTTCCTGCCAAAAGAAGAAGAGTCAGATCGCGTTGCAGGAGATAGGAGATCGGCAAGGAGTTGGACTAACTCTCTTCTGACGAGCATCGGAGACATTGCGGTTGGCTTCGAAGAGGGAACGGATGTACAGAGCTTGTCCCCTCCATAGGCTGCGATGAACAACCCAGTCGAGCGAGAGCTTGAGGGAGCGGCGGTAAAGCGACCTGGCGATGCGAATGATTAGTTCAATTCCACTCTGTAACTCGAAAGATGTACTGACAGGGCGGCCTGTCGCGTCGTCATGATGGCGATTGTCGCAGACAAAAGGGCGAGACTGGCGAGGCAGGCAGTTGTCTCTACCTGTCCAAGGTTCGGAGCTCTGCCAATTGATGTTGAATGGCCGCCTACTCGGACTGTTGCGTTTGAACGTCCAATCCCAGGCACGGAGATTGAGTGTTGTCAATTGAGACGAGATCGGTTGGTGGATCGTTGTGCCTGAGGCAGCACTGTGACGGGCAAGGGAAATGTTCGTCGGCAACAGCTCGGATCCCGGACGCCTGGGGCGTCGATGATTAGTCATCTTAGCTACCCACCTGAGAACAACGAAACCCACCTGGGAAGGCCGTTTGCCAGCTCATTGCCTGTCTATTACTCCCACGACGAGATCCAGTGTACTTGAGGGCAGCGGACAAGACTGGCTTGCCTGTTGCCCTTAATTTTATTGGTAGTGGCTATAAGATGCCGAATACATTGTGGCCCGTGGCCCGTGGCCCATGCAGTATCTAAGTCTCCTCACCAGCCGTCTTTCCGCTCCTATGCTATCGTACAGACCAACTCGTCTACAGGAGCATCCTCCTGGGATCCTCAATGAACTCCTTGACCTTGACGAGGAACTGCACAGCTTCCCGTCCATCAAGAAGACGGTGGTCATAGGTGAGGGCCAGGTACATCATGGGGCGGATCTCAATCTTGCCATTGACGGCAACGGGGCGTTCTTTGATGGCATGCAGGCCTAGGACAGCAGACTGGGGCAGGTTGATGATAGGGGTTCCCATGAGGGAGCCGAAAACACCGCCGTTGCTGATGGTGAACGTGCCGCCAGCCATGTCTTCAATTGTGAGCTTGCCGTCACGGGCCTGGAGGTCTGGTCAGCCAGGGAAAACGGAACGTGCTGGCTAGGATGCCACGTGGTCGTTGTAGCCATACCTTC